CTCTCGCTGGCCTCGATCTACTTCCTCGCCGCCATCGGCCTTGCCATCACCTTCGGGGTGATGGGCGTCATCAACATGGCGCATGGCGAATTCATCATGATCGGCGCCTATACGGGCTTCGTCGTTCAGCAGTTCGTGCCCAACTACACCGCGTCGATCGTCATCGCGCTGCCGCTGGCGTTCGCAATCGCCTTCCTTGCCGGCGTCGCGCTCGAACGGCTGGTGATCCGCCATCTGATGCATCGGCCGCTTGAAACGCTTCTGGCGACGTTCGGCATCTCGATTGCGCTGCAGCAGCTTGCCAAGAACATTTTCGGCACGCAGGCCCGGCCGCTGACAGCGCCGGGCTGGCTCGACGGCGCATGGTCGCTCAACGATGTGGTTTCGATCAGCTACATAAGGATCGCGATCTTTGCCCTCGCCGTCATCTTCTTCGTCCTGTTGTGGTTCATCCTCAACCGCACGCGGCTCGGGCTCGAAGTGCGCGCCGTCACGCAGAATTCGCGCATGGCCGCCTCGATGGGCATCAGTCCCGACCGGGTGAACATGCTGACCTTCGGCCTCGGCTCGGGCATTGCCGGCATTGCCGGTGTCGCCATCGGGCTTTACGCGCAGGTCACCTCGGAACTTGGCGCCTCCTACATCGTCCAGAGCTTCATGACCGTAGTTGTCGGCGGGGTCGGCAACATCTGGGGCACGCTGGCCGGCGCCGGCATGATCGGCTCGCTGCAGAAGATCATCGAATGGTTCAACCCGGCCAACACGCTGGCCGCGCAGACCTACATGATCATCTTCATCATCATCTTCATCCAGTTCCGTCCCAAGGGCATCTTCGCCCTCAAGGGCCGCGCGGCGGGAGACTGAGATGATCGAGCGCACCTTCCTTCTGCGCCATCCCTCCGTGATGGTCTTCATCGCGCTTCTGGCCCTGTTCACGGTCGGCGCGACAATCCTGTCGGAAGGCTTCGGCGTGGGCCTGATCTCGACCAGCTTCGTCAAGACGCTCGGCAAGACGCTGTGCCTGTGCCTGATCGCCATCGCCATGGATCTGGTCTGGGGTTACTGCGGCATTCTTTCGCTCGGCCATTTCGCCTTCTTCGGCCTTGGCGGCTACATGATCGGCATGTGGCTCATGTATGAGCGCACCAAGTCCATCGTCGTCGAGCAGCTCGGCGCCGCGCAACTGCCACCGACGCCCGAAGAGGTGCGCGAGGCGATCGGATCGCAGATCTTCGGCGTGGTCGGCGGATCGGAAATCCCGGCGATATGGATGTTTGCCGACAGCCTGATCATCCAGATCGCGCTCGTCGTTCTGGTGCCCGGCCTTCTGGCGCTGGTGTTCGGGTGGCTGGCGTTCCGCAGCCGCGTCACCGGTGTCTATCTCTCCATCCTGACGCAGGCGATGACGCTCGCGCTGTCGCTCTATCTGTTCCAGAACGATTCCGGCCTGCGCGGCAACAATGGCCTGTCGGGCCTGCAGAACATTCCGGGCGCGGAAAACCTCTCGCAGGATGTCATCTCCGTCTGGTTCCTGTGGGCGTCCGCCTTCGCGCTCGGTGCCGGCTATCTGTTCGCCGCCTGGATGGTCTCGGGCAAGTTCGGCAATGTCGTGCGCGGCATCCGCGACGACGAGGCGCGGGTGCGGTTCCTCGGATACAACGTCGAAGCCTACAAGCTGGTCGTCTTCACCGTCACCGCCGTGATCGCGGGCATTGCCGGCGCGCTTTACTATCCGCAGGCGGGCATCATCAATCCGGCGGAGATCGCACCCATCGCCTCGATTTATCTGGCCGTCTGGGTGGCGATCGGCGGGCGCGGTCGGCTCTATGGCGCGGTGATCGGCGCCGCGCTCGTTTCGCTCGTTTCCACCTGGTTCACATCCGGGCAGGTGCCGGACATTCCGCTGGGCTTTTACACAATCGAATGGGTCGACTGGTGGCTGGTGCTGCTCGGCTTCGGTTTCGTTCTGGTGACTTTGTTCGCACCGCAGGGCCTTGGCGGTCTGGTCGATGCGCTGGTGCGCAACCGGCAGGCCATCGCCGCGCCGCCGCCCACCCCGGCCAAATCGGCTGAAAAAGCAAGCGAGGCGGCATGAGCAGTCTTCTCGAAGTGGCCGGCGTCTCGGTCACGTTCGACGGTTTCAGGGCGATCAACGATCTGTCGTTCGAGATCGGGCGGGCGGAGTTGCGCGCCATCATCGGACCGAACGGCGCCGGCAAGACCACCTTCATGGACATCGTCACCGGCAAGACCCGGCCGGACGAGGGCCGCGTGGATTATGGCGAACCGCCCAGGAGCCTGTTGCGCATGAGCGAGAGCGAAATCGCCCGCGCCGGCATCGGTCGAAAGTTCCAGCGGCCCACCGTCTTCGAGCAGCAAAGCGTCCGCGACAATCTGATGATGGCGCTGAAAAACGACCGCAGCCCGTTCGGCGTTATGGCATGGCGCGCGGCGCGAACCGATATCGACAAGGTGGCGGACCTTGCCGAGGAAGTCGGCCTTGCCGATCATCTGGACCGGCCGGCCGGCGAGCTGGCGCACGGCCAGAAACAGTGGCTGGAGATCGGCATGCTGCTGGCGCAGGACCCCAGACTGCTGCTGGTCGACGAGCCCGCCGCCGGCATGACGCTGGGCGAACGCGAGCACACGACCGAACTTCTCAAACGCGCCGCCGAAACCCGTGCCGTGGTCGTCGTCGAGCACGACATGGAGTTCGTGCGACGTCTCGGCTGCAAGGTGACGGTGCTGCACGAGGGTTCGGTTCTGGCCGAAGGCTCGCTCGACCATGTGACCGCCAACCAAGACGTGATCGACGTCTATCTGGGACGCTGAACCGATGCTTTCCGTTTCCGACCTGACCCTGCATTACGGCCAGTCGCAAATCCTCAATGGCGTCTCGCTCACCGCCGAAACAGGCCGCGTCACCTGCGTGATGGGCACCAATGGCGTCGGCAAGACCAGCCTTCTGAAAGCAATCGCCGGCGTTCACCCGCGCTCGGGCGGCGCGCTGTCGCTGGACGGCGAGACGATCGGCAAGATGCCGGCGCATGTGCTCGCCGCCAAAGGCGTCGGATATGTGCCGCAGGGGCGCGACATCTTCCCGCTTCTGACCGTGCGCGAGAACCTTGAGACCGGCTTTGCGACCCTGCCGCGCGGCGAACGGGCGGTGCCCGACGAGATTTACGAACTGTTCCCCGTGCTCAAGGAGATGGACGGACGGCGCGGCGGCGACCTGTCCGGCGGCCAGCAGCAGCAATTGAGCATCGGGCGGGCGCTGGTGACGCGGCCCAAGCTGCTGCTGCTGGACGAGCCGACCGAGGGCATCCAGCCCAACATCATCACGCAGATCGGAAAGGTGATCGACTATCTTCGCCAGCAGGGGCAGATGGCGATCGTGCTGGTCGAGCAGTATTTCGACTTCGCCTACGGGCTGGCGGACGAATTCGTCGTCATGGAACGCGGCGCGGTTTCGCTGGCCGGCAGCCGTGACGCGGTCTCGCGCGACGCGCTGGTCGACGCCGTTTCGGTGTGACGGCCGATACGGAGGGCGACGGCCCGGCTCCGCGTCAAGCCGCGGAGTTCACCCAAGCCAGAACCGATGCCTTGAGGACCGCCAGCCCTTGCTCGAGAACCTGCCTGTTCCCGGCATTCTTCTTGGCGCTGATGGCTGTCGAATAGATGAACCCGGCAATCGCATCGATCCCGCCGGGCGCGGATATTCGCGCAGCATGTCGCCGAACGCCTCGGCGGCGCAACGTCCGGCGTCAGGGAGCGCGGCCTGAAGCGCGGCAGCCGCCATATCGGCCACGGACCGTTGGTGATCAAAGGATCAGCTCTGGCTCATCCAGTCCCGATCCGCCTCCCTGATCCGGCCGCCATGCTTGTCGAGCAACGCGATCGCCTCGTCCCGGCCGGCGCCGCGCGCCATCAAAATGGAACGCTTGACGTCGTAATCGCTGGCTTCGAGCGCGTCCCGCGCCGTCTGTTCGCTGCAGCCGACAATATCGCGCACGATGCCCAGCGCCCGGCTTCGCAGCTTGCGGTTGGTGACGCGCATGTCGATCATCCGCCCGCGATAGACCTTTCCCAGCCGCACCATCAGAGCGGTCGAGAAGATGTTGAGCGCAATCTTCTGGCTAGTGCCGGCCGCCAGCCGGGTCGATCCTGCAAGTGCTTCCGAACCGGTGTCCAGAAACACCGGCACATCGGCCTCAACAAGAACCGGCGTCCGCGCATTGTTGGCGATGCCGATGGTCAGGGCACCGCTCTGGTTGGCCGCCGTCAAGGCCGTGATCACGAACGGTGTCGTGCCACTGGCGGCCAGACCGATGACGACATCGTTCTCGTCAAGAGCGAGGTCGTCCACGGCGCGCGCCGCAGCCGCTTCATCGTCTTCGGCGCCCTCCTGCGCCTCGACGATGCTCGCCGAACCACCGGCAACCAGGATATGAAGCCGCCCATCGGGCCAGTTGAATGTCGGGTTAAGTTCGACACCATCGAGCAGCGCAACGCGCCCGGACGTGCCCGCCCCGCAATAGACAAGACGCGCCTTCGGTTTTTCGAGCCGCGCAGCAGCAGACGAAACGGCGTCCATGATCTGCGTCTGCGCCGCTTTGACGGCATCGACCGCCTTGGCCTGGCTGCCCACCAGCGCGTCGAAGAGCGCGCCGTCACCCAAACTGTCCAGAAACGGCGAATCGACATCGTGCGCTTCGGTGTTCGGGCGATGTTCGCTGTTCGGTGACGGGGTCAAGGCCGGAAATCCTTATAATACCAAAACATGACCAATTAGCAGAAGGCCGGCTCCGATTTGTATTGCAAGACCGGCGAAATTCAACCCTCATTCAGCTCGTTTGCGATGCGTTGGCGGGAGCCGGACGGTCGATCCGGATTGAAGTGGACAATAATTGGATTTATCCGGTAATGGAGAGGTATGATCAAATGACGGGGTTGATTTGGACAAGCTGATCATCGCGGGCGGTCGCCCCTTTTCGGGCTCGATGCAGGTTGCCGGAGCCAAGAATGCCGCGCTTCCCATTCTGGCGGCATCGATGCTCGGCGGCCGCCAGGTGCGCCTGTCCAACCTGCCCGATGTCGGCGATGTCCGCTCCATGCTCGAACTGCTTGGCTTGTGCGGCGTCGAGACCGGCGATCCCGTCCATGGACGTATCGAATTCTCCACGGAGGCCCTGCGTGCCGCCGATGCCCCTTACGACATCATGCGCAAGATGCGCGCCTCGTTTCTGGTGCTGGCGCCGCTTCTCGTCCGGTTTGGCCGCGCCCGGATTTCGCGGCCGGGCGGCTGCGCCATCGGGACACGCCCGGTCGATCTGCACCTTGGCGCGCTGGAGGCGCTCGGCGCCCGTATCGATTTCGGCGGCGGCATCTATGACGTGCAGGCGCCCGAGGGATTGCGAGGGGCACGCATCGCTCTGCCAATGGCGTCGGTGGGTGCAACCCACACCGCGCTGATGGCGGCGGCCGGCGCGCGGGGCGAGACCGAGATCGTCAATGCGGCGCGCGAGCCCGAGATCGTCGATCTGGCGGCATTCCTCAACGGCCTGGGCGCGCGGGTCGAAGGCGCCGGAACATACAAGATCACGGTTCAGGGTACCGACAGCTGGAGCGACGTCAGCCACGCCATCGTGCCCGACCGGATCGAGGCGGCCAGCTATCTGATCGCCGCCGCCATGACCGGCGGTGAACTGGAGATCATCGGCGCGCGACTGGAACATCTGGGCGCTGCCTGCCAGATCCTCGAACAGGCCGGCATCGTCATCTACCCGTCCGACCGGGGGCTGATCGCCCGGCGCGGCGGCGCGCTGACGAGCGTTGACGTGGCAACCGAACCGTTTCCGGGTTTTCCGACCGATCTGCAGGCGCAGTTCATGGCCCTGATGTGCCTTGCCGACGGTGTTTCGGTGATCCGCGAGCGCGTCTTTGAATCGCGGTTCATGCATGTGCCGGAATTGCAGCGCATGGGCGCCGACATCCGCCATGACGGATCGACCGCCATCGTGACGGGCGTCGGCGAACTGCACGGCGCCCAGGTGATGGCCACCGATCTGCGCGCCTCCATGTCGCTCGTGCTCGCCGGTCTGGTCGCCAAGGGCGAAACGACCGTGCACCGGGTCTACCATCTCGATCGCGGTTTCGAAGACATTGAAGGCAAGCTGCGCCGGTGCGGCGCGGCCATCGAAAGGGTCGCCGAATGACGACGGCCAAAGTCGATGACGAAGCGCTGTTCATGGCGGTCGATGGCGGCGGCACGGGCTGCCGCGCGCGGCTGGAAACCGCAGACGGCAAGGTGATAGGCGGCGGGCTGGCCGGTCCGGCGGCAACGCGGTTCGGTGTCGAAGCGTCCTGGGCGGCGATTTCGACCGCCTTTTCAAACGCGCTGGACGAAGCAGGCATCGGCCGATCGGACGCGGGACACATTCATGCCGGCATCGGCGTCGCCGGCCTGTCGCGGCAAGGCGCGCGCGAGGCGCTGGAAGCGATGGAGCATCCGTTTGCGTCGGCGCATTTTGCGACAGACGGTGAGATCGCCTGTCTTGGCGCGCATGGCGGGCGCGACGGCGCAATCGTCATCGTCGGCACGGGAAGCTGCGGGCTGGCGCGCCTGTCGGGGCAGTTGATCAAGATCGGCGGCTATGGGTTTCCGATATCGGACGAGGGCAGCGGCGCCTATCTGGGGCTGCGCGTCGTCCGCGCCGCGATGATGGCCCATGACGGCCGGATGGCCATGACCGCGCTGCTCGGCGAGATCATGGGCCGTTTCGGCGACGATCCGGGCAATGCGGTCCAATGGATGGATCAGGCAACAGCAACCGACTACGCAGCCTTTGCGCCGATCGTCGTCCGCCATGCCGACGATGGCGATCCGGCGGCCCGGCGCATCATGCAGGACGCGGCCGCGGCGATCGAGACCATCGGTCGGACGCTTTTCGAACGGGGGGCCGAACGGCTGACGCTGATCGGCGGGCTGGCGAGCGTGATCGAGAGCTGGCTTGCGCCGGATCTGCGCCGCCGATTGAGCCCGCAGCTGGGCGACAGCCTGGACGGGGCCGCGATCCTTGCCGGACGGCCGGCAATCGGCCGGTGACGATGCAGAAAGGACCGGACAATACGCAAAACGGCCATGAAGCGGCCGCGGCGCATACCGGGGAACAGGGGTAGGCTTTGAGCGATTATCCAGTCACGATCGACAAGATATTCCAGGACTACGGTCCGATCGACCAGAACAATCCGACGCCGCGCTACATCCAGCTGGCCAACCGGATTCGCGACCTGATCGAGAGCGGAAGCTGGAAGGCCGGCGACGCGCTGCCCTCGGAACGGACAATCGTCGGCGCGACCGGCCTTTCGCGGGTGACGGTGCGCAAGGGTCTCGAACTGCTCGTCAATGAGGGGCTTTTGTGTCAGCGCCACGGTTCGGGCACCTATGTCAGCAGCGAGGAAGACCGCATCGAGCAGTCGCTCGGAACCCTGACCGGGTTCAGCGAGGACATGCACTCGCTCGGCCATGTGCCGAGCGCCCGCTGGATCGAAAAGACCATCGACAATCCGTCGACCGAAGAGACGATGGTGCTGGGCCTTTCGCCGGGCGAGAAGGTTGCGCGCCTGCATCGTCTGCGGCTGGCGGACGGCGAACCGCTGGCGATCGAAATGGCCGTTGTGCCCGCCAGCATTCTGCCCGATATCGACGACATGCAGGATTCGCTCTATCAGACGCTGGCCGCACAGGGCGCGCTGCCCGAAAAGGCGCTGCAGCGCATGCATGCCTGCCGCCTGCCCGCATTCGAGGCGGAACTCCTCAAGTGCGAGGAAGGCGAGCCAGCGCTCCACATCGAGCGCCTGTCGCGTCTGCACAGCGGCCGGGTGATCGAGTTCACCCGCTCCTACTATCGGGGTGACCGCTACGATTTCATCGCCGAACTGACGCTTCCCGGCGCACGGCCAAAGACCATGCAGGGCAAACGCTGATGACAAGCCTGATGCAGCAGGAAACGCGGGCCATTCCCGCCCTCGTCGCTCAACAGATGCACGACCATCTGGCCACCTACGAAGGCTGTGCCGACCGGATCGCGGCGTTCGATCCGGCCCTCGTCGTCACCATGGCGCGCGGCTCGTCGGACAATGCCGCGCTTTATTTCAAATATCTGTTCGAGCTGAAGACCGGCATACCGGTCGCCTCGGTCGGGCCCTCGATCGCCTCGGTCTACGAACGCGAATTGCGTCTTGATCGCGCCGCGTGCCTTTCGATCTCGCAATCCGGCAAAAGCCCCGACCTGGTGGCGTTCCAGAAGATGGCCGGCGATCAGCGGGCCCTGAACCTGGCGCTGGTCAACACGCTTGACAGCCCTTTGGCAGAAGGTGCCGACTGCCTGATGCCGGTTGCCTCGGGACCGGAGAAGTCCGTCGCGGCGACCAAATCCTTCGTCATGTCGCAGACCGCCATCGCCGCGCTGACGGCGCATGTCAGCCGGGACGACGGTCTGCTTGCCGCACTGGCGGATCTGCCGGACGCGCTGGACCGGGCCATCGGTTGCGACTGGCGCGATCTGGTCACACGGTTGAAGCCCGTTCACTCGCTTTACGTCATCGGGCGCGGGCCGGGACTTGCCATCGCCCAGGAAGCCGCGCTCAAGCTGAAGGAGACGTGCGAAAAACACGCGGAGAGCTACAGTTCCGCCGAGGTGCTGCACGGTCCCATCCAGTTGGCGGCCAGCGGCCTGGCAGCGCTCGTCTTCCTCAGCCGCGACGAGGCGCGGCAGGGCCTGATCGACGCGGTCCGACGCATGGCCGAAATGGGCATTGCCGTTTTCGTCGCCGATCCCGCCGGCGACCGGCCGCTGGACCTGCCGGGCGTTTCCTACCTGCCATGCGCCGCGGCTCCGCACCCGATGCTCGACTGCATCAGCCAGATCACGACCTTCTATGTTTTCGCGGAGCGGTTCGCCTTCGATCTCGGTCTCAATCCGGATTCGCCCAAACTGCTCAAAAAGGTCACCGAGACGATATGAGCGGGCCGACCGTTTTCAGGGCAAGCGCGATTTTCGACGGATCGGTCGTCCATCGCGACCGCCAGCTGGTCGTCGAGGACGGCAGGGTCAAGGGTCTGGCCCCGCTGGCCGATACGCCGGCGCGCAGCCGGATCGTCGACACGGAGGCTGAATGGCTGTCGCCGGGATTTGTCGATTGGCAGGTCAATGGCGGCGGCGGCGTCCTGTTCAACGACAATCCCAGTCCCGAAGGTCTTGCACGGATCGCCGACGCCCACCGGCGTTTCGGGACGACCGCCCTGCTGCCGACCGTGATCACCGATGAGCCGGCGGTCACAAAGGCCGCGGCCGCAGCGGCCGCCGAGGCGACGCAACAGGGCACACCGGGCATTGTCGGCATTCACTTCGAGGGCCCGCATATCTCGGTTGCGCGGAAAGGCGTCCACGATCCGCGGTTCATCCGGCCCATGGAGCGGGACGATTTGGCGTTGCTCCGCCGCCGGGATCTGGGCCGGATCGTTGCGACGGTCGCCCCGGAAAACGCCACGGTCGACGATGTCGCCGCGCTTGCACAGGCAGGAACGATCGTCAGCCTTGGCCATACGGCGACGGATCACGACACGGCCCGGCGCTATTTCTCGGCGGGGGCGCGCGCGGTCACGCATCTTTTCAACGCCATGGAGCCGCTGCACCACCGTCAGCCGGGCCTGATCGGGGCCGCGCTCGAAAACCCGGATATCTATTACGGGCTGATCGCCGACGGCCACCATGTTCACCCGTCGGTCCTGTCGATGGTTTTCGCGGCGGGCCCGAAGACCCGGCTGACGCTGGTCACCGATGCGATGTCCTCGGTCGGCGACCCCTCCGACACGTTCGAGTTGAACGGCCGTATCGTCCACCGCAAGGGCGGGCGCCTGACCATCGAAGACGGCACGCTCGCCGGCTCCGATCTGGACATGATATCCGCCATCCGCTTTTCCGTGCGCGAGTGCGGCGTCGCCATGGTCGACGCCCTGCGCATGGCCACGTCGGTGCCGGCAAGCATGCTCGGGCTCGAGACGATCGGCTCGCTGCGGCCCGGCGCGCGCGCGGACATCGTTGCCCTGCACGACAGCCTCGAGATCGCCCAGGTCCATATGGCCGGCGAACCCGACCCATAGGGCCGGCAAACGGGGTCGGCGCCTTGACGGCGCGTCAGTTCGGCGTCGTCACCGCCGGGTCGTCGGCGAAATGGCAGGCGCATGTGCGCGCCGGGAAATCGTCGTCTTCCAGAACGCGCAGGTCGGGACTCGTGCGATCGCAGTCGGGCTGTTTCCAGTAACAGCGGGGATGAAAAAGGCAGCCTTTGGGCCGGTGCGCGATGTTGGGCACATCGCCGGTCAGGACGATCCGTTCGGGCACGGCCGATTGCGCCAGTTCGCGTCCGGGAATGCGCGGCACAGCCGACAGCAGCGCCCGCGTATAAGGGTGGCGCGGCGCTTCGAAGATGGACTGCGAGGGCCCGTACTCGACAAGCTTGCCGAAATACATCACGCCGATCCGGTCGCTGACATGGCGGACGACCGACAGGTCGTGGCTGATGAAGATGATGGAAAGCCCGAGTTCGGCACGCAGCTTGGCCAGCAGATTGATGATTTGCGACTGGATCGAGACATCGAGCGCCGAGACGGCCTCGTCGGCGACGATGATCTTGGGGCTGATCGCCAGCGCGCGGGCGATGGCTATGCGTTGCCGCTGGCCTCCGGAAAACTGGTGCGGCAGACGCTCCATCGCGCTTTTGGGAAGGCCGACCAGATCGAGCAATTCGGCAATGCGCTCCCGACGGTTGGCGATCCCATGCACGATCAGCGGCTCGCCGACGATGGTGCCGACTGTGTGGCGCGGATTGAGCGAGCCGAACGGGTCCTGGAAAACCATCTGGATGTCGCGCCGCGCCTGTTTGAGATCGCGCTTGCCGATCTTTGCGATGTCGCGGCCGCCATAGATGATCTCGCCGCTGGTCGGATCGTCCAGACGCATGATGGTGCGGCCGAGCGTGCTCTTGCCGCAGCCCGATTCGCCGACGATGCCCAGAATTTCACCTGCATCGAGGTCGAAGGAAATGCCGTCGAGCGCCAGCACCCTGCCGCCGGAGCCGGTTGGATAGTGCTTGACCAGATCGCGCACGGACAGGAGCGGGCTCATGATGCCGGGTTCCAGCAATAGCCGGCGTGGGCGCCGCGGCGCACCTCGGGCGGCGTTTCTGTCGCGCAAACGTCGATCGCAAAATTGCAGCGTCCGGCAAACGCGCAGCCTTTCGGCCGTTCCCCCGGCGGCGGCACCGCGCCCGGTATCGCCGGCAGGCGCGATCCCGGCGGATTGGCTGCGGGAATGGTCCCGATGAGCGCCTCCGTGTAGCGGTGGATCGGATTGCCGAACAGGTCGTCGACCGGCCCCTCCTCCGCGATCCTGCCGGCATACATGACCACCGCCCGGTCGCAGGTTTCCGCGATCACACCGAGGTCGTGCGTGACCATCACGCAGGCCATGCCGAAACGTTTGCGCATCTCGGCGATCAGGTCGAGAATCTGCGCCTGGATGGTCACGTCGAGTGCGGTCGTCGGCTCGTCGGCGATCAGGAGGGCCGGCTCGCAAGCCAGCGCAATCGCGATCATCACGCGCTGTCTCTGGCCGCCGGACAGTTGGAAGGGATAGCGCTGCAACTGCGCGTCTTCGCTGGGCAGGCCCACAAGGCCCAACAGCCGCTTGACCTCCGCCTTGCGCTCTCGGCCGGCCATCTTGCGATGGATTTCCAGCGCTTCGCCGATCTGCGCTCCGATGGTCATGATCGGATTGAGCGAGGTCATCGGCTCCTGGAAGATCATCGCCATGCGGTTTCCGCGAATGCGGTTCAGTTCCGTCTCGTCAAGATCGGCCATGTTGGTCTGCTCGAAGAGGATGCGGCCGCGCGACACCTTGACGGCGTGTTTCGGCAGCAGGCCGAGGACCGACAGGGCGGTGATCGTCTTTCCGCATCCCGATTCGCCCAGGAGACCGACCATTTCGCCCCTGTTGACGGTCAGACTGATGCCTTCCACCAGCACCGCCGAGCGGGTCGACAGATGGAGGTCTTCTATCGCCAGAAGCGGCTGGTCCTGGACGTCGGCGTTTGAACTATGCTGCACGAGAACGTAGGCTCCGGAACGGGTGGGACAGAGCGGCCTCAGCCGCTATCTGATTCCAACTCGTACGTTATTGGTTACATTGACAATGCTGACGAGGTGAGAAATGGTATTGAGGTGGACTATGTCACCAGCTTGGCCAGGGAATGTCAACAAAGGCGCAGCCACCGATACAGCCTTGGGAGCGAAACCGTCTTGGGAGAACGTCATATCATGAAAAGCCTTCGCACCTTCACATTGACATGCGGCGTGGCCGTGGCGGCCGTCGTTTCCGGTCCGGCATTGTCGGCGCCGCTGCAAGTGGCCGTCGAGCAATCGCCGTCCGGTCTCGATCCGCACATCGTCACAGCGTTTTCCTCATTCCAGATCATCGATGGCACCATCTATGAAGGGCTGACGGCGCTGGACAACGATCTGAACATCGTTCCGGGCCTGGCTTCGGAATGGCAGATTTCCGACGACAAGACGACCTATACCTTCACCCTGCGCGAGGGGGTGACCTTCCATGGCGGCGATGCGATGACGTCGGCGGATGTGGTCGCCAGCCTCAATCGCGTGCTTGCCGAAAACACCGGTTCACCGCTCGCCAGCCGTCTTGCCGCGGTCGACAGCATCGAGACACCCGATGACAGCACCGTGGTTCTCAACCTTTCGGCACCTTCTGCACCGCTCCTGTCCTCGCTGACCTCGATCGCCATCGTGCCGGCCAAGTATGAAGACGACACGGACTCGCTGCAAAGGGCGCCCGACGGCACCGGCCCGTTCAAGTTCGTCTCCTGGCAACCCGATGTCGCCATCACGCTGGAGGCCAATGCGGACTATTGGGACGAGGAACGGCCAGCGCTGGAGGGCGTGGTCTTCAACATCGTGCCGGAAGCGGCGACGCGCCAGGTCGGCCTGAATTCGGGCCAGTACCAGATGCTGCCCAACATTGACGGCGTGATGGCCCAGCAGTTCCAGGGCGCCGGCGGCGTCCAGTTGGAGGAGACGCTGGAACTGGCCTATTCGCTGATCGGCATCAACGTCTCGCGTCCGCCCTTCGACAACGCCAAGGTCCGCGAGGCGATCAACTACGCGATCAACCGCGACGACATCGTCGCCGCCGCCCTGTTCGGGGCCGGCGTGCCAGGCGGCCCGCTGTCGCCGGCGCTGACCAACTACGCCCTGCCGCTCGAAGAGTTCGGCTGCTTCACCCCGTCCGCGGACAAGGCCAGAGCGCTGTTGGAGGAAGCCGGTATCGAAACGCCGATCGAGGCGACGCTGCTGGTGCTGCCGCGCGACAGCACCAAGGGTATCGCCCAGGTGGTCCAGCAGCAATTGGCGGCGATCGGCATCGATCTCGAGCTCGACATTCCCGAGATCGGTCAGTTCGTCCAGAACTGGCGGAATTCGGAGTTCGACATGTTCGTGTCCCTCAATTCGGGGACGATCGAGCCCGACGATTATTTCTACCGCACCTTCCGCACAGGCGGCTCGACCAACGTGTTCAAATATTCGAACGAAACCCTCGATGCCCTGCTCGATGCCGGACGCGAGGAGACCGATACCGCCAAACGGCAGGAGATCTATGCGGACGCGCAGCGGGAACTGGCCTGCCAGGGTCCGGCCGCTTTTCTGACCTACGGCCAGCTCTACACGGCGATGCGCGACAATGTGGACGGCTATTCGATCAGCCCCACCCGTTCGATGCGGTCGCTGGGCGGCACGTCGGTCACCGAATAACGAGTACGGACGGATTGGCGGAACGGTGCACACGTTCCGCCAAGGCCGCCCGCTCCGCCTTTGCGGTATGATGACAGTCCATGGTGTTGCTGAAACGACTGCGTGACCGGCTGATCGATCTGGCGATCGTCATTTTCGGCGTCTCCATTCTCGTCTTCGGCTTCATCCGCATGATCCCCGGGGACGCCGTCGCTATCATGCTCGGCGCCAATGCCGAGGTGACGCCGGAACGGATTGCCGCCATCCGCACCCGGCTGGGCCTCGACCTGCCGATCCACGAGCAATATTTCGTCTGGGTGTCGAATGTGCTGCGCGGCGATTTCGGCGTGTCGATCTGGACGGGCAGGCCGGTGATCGAGGAGATCGGCCATCATGTTTGGCCGACCCTGCAGCTCACCCTGCTGGCGCTTCTGACGGCGATCGTTCTCGCCATTCCCCTCGGCATCCTGATGGCCAACATAAGGGGCAGGCGTGGCGAAGCCTTTGTCCAGGCGGGCTCGGTCATCGGGCTGACGGTGCCGCCCTTCTGGCTGGGGATCATCATGATCCTGGTGCTGTCGACGGTGGCGCCGAGCCTCCAGATGCTGGGCTATGTGCCGTTCACGACCGATCCGATCGGCAACATACAACGCCTGATATTGCCCGCCTTCGCGCTGAGCCTGCCGATCATGGCAAACCTGGCGCGCCTTTTGCGCTCGACGCTGCTCGAAGCCATGCAACAGGACTATATCCGCACCGCCCGCGCCAAGGGCGTGCCGGCGCGCCGCATCCTCTATCGCCACGCGCTGCGCAACGCCATCATCCCGTTCGTGACCAGCGTCGGCATCATGGCGGGCTATCTTCTGAGCGGCGCGATCGTGATCGAACAGGTGTTCGCCATTCCCGGTCTCGGCCGCCTGATCCTCGGCGCCATCGCCGAGCGCAACTACCCGCTGCTGCAGGCAGCAATCCTGCTGGTGACGTGCAGCTTCGTGCTGATCAACTTCCTGGTCGACATCGTCTACACGCTGATCGACCCGAGGATCACGGAATGAGCGGCGGCACCATCGAACGTCCGGCCGAGCAGCCCGTGCCAACCCATCCGGCGCGGCGGTTCACCCTGCCCGAGCCGAGCCTTTACAATCTGTCGCTCGGCATGATCATTCTCATCACGATCGTGGCCGTGGCGGCGCCGTGGATCGCGCCCTACGATCCGCTCGAACAGGACATCATCCAGCGCCTGAAGGGCCCTTCGGCGGCGCACTGGCTGGGCACCGACCAGCTGGGCCGCGATCTGT